CTCAAGAGCTTTCCGACGAACCAAGAATCGTCGCGATCGAAGCAAGAATGAGGAAGTTATGATCGTTCAAAGATTTGTTTGTGATGCGACGATTTTGGGAAGTTGTGAAGTGACTCAATATGGGGTACAGACTTTTGGGGGTTGGGAAATTCGTACCCATCACTGTAGATGCTGCCAAGTGGTTGGGTGAAGCCAAAACAGGTTGGCAAGTGTGGCCAACTTGGGTGAGGTGGATTGTGGAGGTTGAGAAAGTGACAAAAGTGAAAGTGGGGTTGCTATAGGAAGGGGAATGGTGTGGCATGGGGTTTCCTTGGTTGGGGACTCTCTTGGGACCTTCCCTCTCGTCCTCCTCATCCCCTCCTACCTGGTTTATTGCTACTCCAACTTTCTTGTGTATAATTGTGAGACTCTTATCATTGAGTTAAGTTCTCATGGCAGCATACCCCCCTGTGCGCCGAAACTGATAAGTCCAGATTTACTTCACGTACGATTCAAATTGGGAATTGTAGCCACGGATTAGAGTTACAACATATCTAAAATTAGCGAAGTTTTCACTGTGCCGTTTTTGTCGACGACGTTTCTTGTGAGCGCGATGATTCTGTCCAGAAATTGAGACCAACAATTTTGAGAAATTTAGACACATAATCTTCATAGACTCTGTCCTTAGTCTCTATAACATAGTGGGTCACCTGCTGACCTCCATGAGTGAAGTGGTCAACCCACGCGTCCTGAAGGTCATCTCCACTCACCAAGTTCGTGGAGAACGAGGGGAGGTGGAGGCCAGACAGAGAGCCAGACGGGACCGCCGGACACGGCAGAACCGTGGAGGAGTGTGCAAGGACCGGACCCCTAGAGGGGTCAGCCAGAGAGACTGCCACTGGCCGACTGAGCGGTGAGAGTGTGGTGCAGTCACGGAAGAAGGAGCCGGAAGCACCCGAGTCAAGGGTGAAAGTGTGCAAGGCCGCAGCAGGCGCAGTACCAGAGAGAGCAGACTCACCAGCACCTGGAGCAGTGGACTCACTAGCGCCTAGAGAAGTAGCCTTACCAGCACCTGGAGTGGGAAACACGCCAGCACCTAGAGCAGCAGCCTCAACAGCACCTAGAGCAGCAGACTCTATACCTGGGTCAGGCAGCACACACAGGTAACAGGCACCCTCAGCACTAGTAGGCAATGCACACATGGCAGTGAGGATAGCATCATAGTCAAGAGCAAAGATATCTACCCTCCGCCTAAGCAGCTCCAGCCAGGAGGGGGGCTCAGCGTCGTCGCCAAACTCTGTACGCCAGGCGTCGCTCGGACAGGAGAAGCAGCGGGACTCTGTGTGACCAACCGTCTCGCAAGGCTGACCAGCCCGATCACCAGTGCGAATGACGTACGGGCAGCGAGCAGTAATCTGTGACCGCGTACCACTCACGAAGCTGTTGGGGCGAAAGGGTCGCGCGCGGACGCCGCTGCAGCTGCACCTGGTCACCACAAGAAGCCCCGGAACGACCCGCGCCAGGGCGACTCCCACCACGGCCACCCCTACAACCCCAACTAGCGTACCACTCACGAAGCTGCTAGGGCGAAAGGATCTCGCACGGACGCCGCTGCAGCTGCACCTGGCCACTACAAGAAGCTCCCGAACGACCCGCTCCAGGGCGACTCCCACCACGGCCACCCCGACAACCCCAACTAGTGTACCACTCACGAAGCTGCTGGGGCGTGAGGGACTCACGCGGATGTCGCTGGAGCTGCATCTGGCCACCGCCAGGTGCAGAAGTAGCAGGAGTAGCAGTAGTAGCAGCAGTAACAGCAGGAACAGCAGCAGCAGCAGTAGCAGTGCGGGCGGGGCAGTGCGGCTCAGTAGAGGAGGGCTGCACAGCTCGGCAGCACGACGCGGCTCGGCGGGGCGGCTCGGCGTGGCTGAGCAGCGCGGCTCAGCTGGGCGGCCTAGGCTGGCACGCAGGTGCGACAGGTAGGCCGGCGCGGCAGCGCACTAGTAAGGCAGGCACGCGGGAAGCGCGGGTAGGGCAGGTGCTCAGCAGTGGCGGGAAGGGCCGACGGCGGCGACGGCGGGGCCGCGACAGCTGCAGGGCGGGGCCGTGACTGCGGCAGGGGGCTCCGCGGCAGCTGCTACAGGGCGGGGCCGTGACTGCGGCAGGGGGCTCCGTGGCAGCTCCTGCAAGGCGGGGCCACGACAGTGGCAGGGGGCTCCGCGGCAGCTGCTACAGGGCGGGGCTGCGTCTGCTGCCGGAGGCTCCGCGACAGCTGCTGCAGGGCGGGGTTGTGAGTGCTGCAGGGGGCTCCGCGGCAGCTGCTGCAAGGCGGGGCCGCGACTGCTGCAAGGGGGGGCTCCGCGGCGAGCAGGCACGGCGCCCAGGGGGGCGCCGCGACGAGCAGAGACGGCGCGTAGTGGGCGCCACGACAAGTAAGGGGCGACGCCCGGGGGGTGCCGCGACGAGTAGAAACGGCGCCCAGGGGGCGCCACGACGAGCAGAGTCGGCACCCCGTGGGTGTCGTGACGAGTAAAGGCGATGCCCTGGGGGCGCCGCAACGAGCAGAGAGGGCGCCCAGGGGGCGACGCAACGAGCAGAGACGGCGCCCAGGGGGCGTCGCGACGAGTAAGGGCGATGCCCCGGGGGCGCCGCGACGAGCAGAGACGGCGCCCTGGGGGCGTCGCGACGAGCAAAGACGGCGCCCTGTGGGCGTTGCGATGAGTAAAGGCGACGCCCTGGGGGCGCCGCGACGAGTAGAGACGGCGCGCGGTTGGCAGGGCGGCGCTCACGGGCAGCAGGGGCTACGCGCGGCTCGAGAGGGCGGCGCGCGGGCTGCAGAGGCAGCTCCCACGGGCTGCAGGGGCTGGCACGGCTGCAGGGGCAGCGCCCATGGGCAGCAAGGGCAGGCACGGCTGTAGAGGCAGCACCCACGGGCGGCAGGGGCATGCACGGCTGCAGAGGCAGCGCCCACATGCGGCAGGGGTAGGCACGGCTGCAGAGGCAGCGCCTACGGGCGGCAGGGGCAGGCATGACTGCAGAGGCAGCGCCCACGGGCTGCACGAGCAGCTAAAAAAAAAATCAGTTAGGGCAAGGCGGAACGTTCAGTGGGCCCTAGGAACGATTCTGCTCTAATACCATGTGAAAATAAGAACAAGGAATGGATGAACTGTTACGATAGTGTCTTAACTGGTAACCGGGTTTAAGGAGGGCCTAGGCTTAGTAGCCTAGGCCAAGCGGGTGTCGAGTAGTTTGTGCCAAGAGAATTGAAGAAAAATGGTTGGAGGTTCACTATAGCACACGAGTAAATATAGCAACTTAACAAAGGTGAAAGAGGTGCACCACCACAAAAGGGAATTACACAACAGCTACACTACATGCAGATTATACTAAATAGATATAAATCTATTGTAGCAGCGTCACTTCTATGGGCGTCCGTGTGCATGGCATCCATTTTGGCTCCCCCCCTTCCGCTGTCATCACCAACATCCCCTTGGCCACGTGCCTCTCTGGAGCCAGCAGTCCCAGCCTCTCAGCCATCCCTCTGCCCAACATCACGCTCTGTGCCCCCGTATCTATGATGGCTGTCGTTACTTTCACTCCCTCCACTTCCATGGCTCCCTTTTCAAGCAGTAGCACCGAGGTCTGGCATGCCAGCCTCTCTTGGGGGTGGCGTGCGGGGGCTGGCTCTTGGGCCGGCTCGGATGGCGCTTCTCCCTTCACCTGCTCCTTCCTTCCTTGCTCTCGCCTGCCATCTCTTCCCCCGCTTCTCAGCCCCACCTCCTCTCTCCCCCTCCATGCCATGAGAGCACACTGCACGTCCTGCTCCACCTCCTCTCCCCCCCCTTCTCCTGCGTACATTCCTGCCTCCGCCTCCCCCTTCAGCCCTGTTGCCCTCAGCTGTGCCTGCAACCTGTTAATCTGCCGCTGCAGCTCCTCTGAATGCCTTCCACTCCCCCCTTCCCTCTGGTAGCAGTCCTTCGCCTCATGTCCCTGCCTTTTGCAGATTTCACACCGGGCATCCAGGTTTTTGCAGTTTTTGCAGTCCCTGCGCAGATTTCACACCGGGCATCTGCGCAGGGACTGCAAAAACTGCGCAGATGGCCCAGTCCTCAATTCGAAGCATGTCCACACCTGTAGCATGTCCTGGTATCCGCCCCAGTCTCCCCTCGTCCCTCTGTTCTCCCTCCTCCTCCCGGTATTATGGCCGCCGCCCACGTTGGCCGCCTGCTCCTCTCTGCTGGCCTGGGGAGATATGCCTCGAATTTCCTTTGCGCGAGCTCCACCCTCTCCGCCAAGGCGAACACCTCCTCCAGGCTTGCATCTGCTCCGAGCTCATACACCCTCATCCTCAGCCCCCCTCCTAAGGCCTCGTCCAAGCCCCCCAGGAACTTGCTGACGAGAAGGCTGCTGTCCGTGCATCTCACGTCCTCCGCCACATTTATCAGCCGGTTGTAGTAGGTCAGCAATGATTCAGTCCTGCCCCTGCTGAATTCCTGGAACTCCCTTATGCGCTCGGCCGTGTGCCCTGGGAATTGCCGCTGCAGCCTCTCCAGGAATGCCTCAGTGGGGTCCTCGCCGTACCTCCCCGCCCTCCACAGCAGTTCCTCCATCCTCATACGGTAGAGCGTCTCGGCCTCTCCCTCGAGCGTGTTCGGCAGGCTCAGAAAGAAGTCTATTGGATCCATGTGGTGCCGGTCGCAGCGGTACCGCACATTCCCCACCTGCATGAGGTAGTTCTTGAGGGTCGGTCCTGCACGCTGGTCACCTGAGAATCTGGCGGGCACCTCCACCCGTGGGGCGCCGTTGCTGCCCCCACGCCCCTCTCCCCATGCCTCGCTGGCCCCTTCCTGCCGACTCCTCTCTGTTCCCCTCACCCGTGCTCTCTGCATGCCCTCTCTAGCTTCCCGCGCCCGCTCTGCTCCTTGCGCCAGAGTTCCGCCTTCCGTTCTTCTCTTTTGGCGGCTCCCGCCTGCCTCGTACCGCCTCCCCCTCGATTCTCCTCGCCCCTCTGTCCGTCACCACTACACCGTCGGCGGTCCGTACACCTCCCGCTCCTCCCATCTGCTCATCTCACGCCGCGGCCGCCTCTCTGGCAATGGTGACCAGGCGTCCAGGTGCTCACTCCAAGTGCGCGGCTGACGCCACGGTGACCGCTCCCCCGCGTACTTCTCCCTGCGCGTGTGTTGTCCGTCCGGCGAGCGGAACCAGCTGCTGTCTCTCCGCTCCCTCTGCCTAGTCCGGCCTGGCGAGCGTATGGTGCTGCTGCGTCCCCCTTGCTGCTGACCGTGCCACTTCGGCGGCGCTGTTTCCGTCTCTCGCCACCTCTCCCCGCGCGGCTGCTGCCGTCCTGCCGAATGCGGAGCGCCGCCGCTCCACTCTCCCTGCTCCTGGCGCTTGCCGCGCGGGTGGAACTCGCCCACGCGCCCTCCCCCGAGGCGCCGCTCCCTCTCCGCCGAGCGGGACCGCTCCTCCTTTCCCTTGCCACGCGAATTTGGCGCCTGCCACGCTCGATGGCTCATCTCTGGCCCGCCCAGCTCCTGCCGTCCGGAGCTCTCCGTGCGCCGCCCTTCCTCGTAGGGATCGTCTCGACCGCGCGATCCCGGTGGCGGAGCCTCTAATTCCGCGACCGCCACCGGGCTCGTCTCCGTTTGCGCCTCCGCCGGCTCGGTTTCCGCATCGCCCGTTCCTCCTGTTCGCGCCTCATTCGCCCCTTCTATCCCTGCCTCCTCGTCTGACCGTTCCGATCCTTCTTCCTTGTCCTCCACGCCCTGCTCCGGCGTCTCTTCTCGAACCGCATTGTGCGGCGAGTTCTCTCCGCGAGCGACGCTGCCGACGCTCCCTCCTTGTCCGCGAGACTGCTCGCCGAACGCCAGCCACCGCCCTCTCTCGTCGCGACGTCGTCCGCGCTCCTCCGGGGAGCGGAACACCCTTCCGCCGCGGTGGTTTCCGCCCTCCGTGCTAGGTCCGCGTCCGCTCTCCTGGAGCCACGCATCTCGATCCGCGCGTTCGGTGTGTCCTTCGTCATTCGTTCGCGCATCAGCTACTCGGCCGTCCCTCACGACAGGGACCCGATCGGCGCGGAAGGCGGGATGGCGCGGCGATCGCTCCATGGATCGCCCACGCTCTCGTGACGGCTCTCGGCGCTCCCGTTCCTCCTCCCGTCGGCTATACGCCCTACCCCAGCGCAGCTCGTATCGATCCATCTCGTTCGCGCTAGGAAGTTACAGTCCTAGCCCCCGTGTCCGCTTTCTTGCTAATATGAAAGAGCCTGATCCCTCACCCCGTAGGTTCCCTATTAGTGTCGTGTTGTCGTATGCTAGAGCCTGAGACAATCAGTTTCACTAGTGCAAGGGAATATTAGCGAGAAAGCATCGATGGGTTGGAGGTGAGTGACCTTACCCCACCCCTGGCTGCACATTTCCAAAATGTGCGGCTCGGGGTTGGGGTTCGTTGGTTTCACATTTCGCATTTCGGATTCTTTCCCCCTTTTTATCTCAACCGCTCTTATCCTGTTTCCCCCCTTCTACAACCTCGCTCCTAACAGTAACTTTACTACATCCTACAGCTATTACCTATATTCTTATTCCTATCTCATCTTCCTATGGACTTAGGATGAAACCCACACTCCACCATCATTCTACTGTTATTGCATATGCATTAAGTGCATATGCGGTGACACACACCCCCTATCTGCCTGAAGTGCATAACCATGTGCAGAGCCCCCCTTGAAGGGGTACACCTGTAAAACCCCATTACAGGGCGTGGGAACATCAGCAAGAGGCCCCCTCTGAAGCTGACAAGCAGCAACCACCAAGCAGCACCTGAACCACCGCGGTGGAACAGGTGCCCGGCTGCGGTTGAACGCCCCGCAGCTGGTGCACGGTGTGTGAGGAGCACGGGTACGGGTAGCGGGTTCGGGTAGCAACTAGGTGCTGTACGGGATGGGCCGCACGGGGGTGACGAGCAGCACGAGACCGGGCAGCACAGACCGGGTGGGGCACAAGCGTGAACTGACAGCACGGGTGGGGCACCAATGGGTACGGACAGCACGGGTAGGGCACAAACGGGCAGAACGGGGCAGGACACGGGCTGAACGGGGCAGGACACGGGCTGAACAGGGCAACACGGGCAGAACAGGGCAGAACACGGGCTGAACGGGACAGAACAAGGGCTGAACGGGGCAACACGGGCAGAACAGGGCAGAACACGGGCTGAACGGGGCAGGACACGGGCTGAACAAGGCAACACGGGCAGAACGGGGCAACACGGGCTGAATGGGGCAACACGGGCAGAACGGGGCAGTACACGGGCTGAACGGGGCAACACGGGCCGAACGGGGCAGGACACGGGCTGAACGGGGCAACACGGGCACAACGGGGCAGCACGGGCAAAACAGGCAGCACGGGCAAAACGGGGGACACTGGGCGCGGGTAGAACACGGGCAGCAACAGGAGACACGGGTGGGCACGGGCAGTATGGCACGGGAACGGGCAGCAACACGGGCAGGATCACTGGCAGAATCACGGGCAGAATCACGGGCGACAACACGGGCAGAATCACGGGCAGAATCACGGTCAGGATCACGGGCAGAACACGGGCAAAATACGGGCAGCACGCGGGTATGATCACGGGCACAATCACGGGCAGCATTACGGGCAGAATCACGGGCAGAATCACGGGTGGACAGCAAGGCACGGGCAGCAAGGGATGAGAGGAGGAGGAGGCGGATGATGCTGCAGTTGAACTCTCACCACCCACACCCCCTGAGCCTCTCTCCCACAGCAGTAGTAGCGGCAGAGAGAACGAGGAGGAGGTGTGGTGGCAGCGGATGGGGGTGCAGTTCCACTCCCACACACCTTCATCCTCCCCCCATTGTAGCAGATGCGAGACTGAGAGGGAGAGGAGGAGGAGGCGGTTGAGGTCGCAGAATCCTTCTTGGCACCCCCTTACCCTGCCAACAGCCCACCACCTCCACCTCCACACCCGCTCCTTCCCCACTGGCCGCCACCCCCACCACCTCGAGCTAGCACGGTAGCAGTCGCAATCGCGGCTGGAGCTGGCGGGAGCGTGGGTGGGGGCGACGGGGGGGGGGGGGTGGGGGGAGGAGGAAGTTCTCGGGCGGGCGGCGGCGCGAGCGGTAGGCTGCAGGAACGGGCAGCGCGCAGGCGACGGGTTGCAACAGCAGGTGACGTGCGATCGCCGGTGCGCTGGCGGTCGTCGCTGGCGTTCCGCCGCCACTCCCTTCCCCTTTGCCCTCTTCCCCCCCACAGCGATCCGCCGCCACTCCCTTCCTCGTTTCCCTCTTCCCCACACAGCGACCGTCGCTGCACACGCGAACAGCCGCGACGGGGGGGGGGGGAGGGGGGACGGGCATGGGGCGCGGGTAATGTGACGGGCTAAGGAGCGGCAGCGGGCTACAGGGAGCCGGGGCGACGGGAAGCGGGGCAACGGGAAGCGGGGCGACGGGAAGCGGGGTGACGGGAAGCGGGGCAATGGGAAGCGGGGCGACGAGAAGCGGGGCAACGGGAAGCGGGGCGACGGGATCGAGGGGCCGCGAAGACCTTGTGGGACGCGAAACGGGGGGTATTCAGGGCGCGAATTCGGGGGCATTCGGGGCGCGAAACAGGGACCTTCGGAGCGCGAATCAGAGGGCATCCGGGGCGCGAATCGGGGGGGGGGGGGGGGGGGGGCATCTGGGTGTCAGAATATTATCTTATTGTTCTAGCCTGTAGTGGGGTGCTCTATAGCGAGTACAACCCTTCTAGGGTTTGCTATTTGTATCCTCATTCTTGCTAGTTCAATCCTCTTTCTTTCTTCTAATTTTGACATGCTATCAGAGCAGGTCGATCCCCTTGGATCGATCCTGTGGGTGTGTCCCCACCTTGCTTCCGCTGCTACTTTTTCCTCCCGCCGTGCGCCCCGAGGCGCGCGGCGGTTTTCTGCCCGCCGTGCGCCCCGAGGCGCGCGGCGGTTCATTGCCCGCTGTGCGCCCCGTGGCGCGCGGCGGGCTTCTCCTCTACGTCGCGGCCCCGCCCCGGCCCGTCGCCGCCCGTGCGCTCGCTCGACGCGGCCCCGCTCTAAGTCGCGGCCCCGCCCCGGCCCGTCGCCGCCCGTGCGCCTGCCCGGCTCGGCCCCGCCCTTCGTCGCGGACCCGCCCCGACCCGTCGCCGCCCGTGCGCCTGCCCGGCTCGGCCCCGCCCTACCTGCTCGGCCCCGCCCTTCGTCACGGCCCCGCCCCCTCGAAGCGGCCCCGCCCTACGTCGCGGCCCCGCCCCGACCGTCGCGGCCCCGCCCCTTGTCGCGGCCCCGCCCTACGTCGCGGCCCCGCCCCGCTCGTCGCGGCCCCGCCCCTTGTCGCGGCCCCGCCCTCCAACCAGGCTCGTGGTGGGCCCCTTTCACCACACCGCCTCCCCCCCCCCCCCCCCCCCCCCCCTGCCATTTCCCGTCGCCCGTCGTGGCGACCTGAGGGGGCCGCTTGCGGGGTATGGGGCGAGCTGTGGGGTGGCGGGTATGGGGGTGGTCGGTGTGCCTTCCTCCCTTTCTCCTCCTCCTCCTTCGTCTCCCACTGCTGCAGCTGTCGCTGAGGGGGGTGGTTGTGTGGGAGACTGGGTTTAGGGTTTAAGGGGGGTGCGTGGGAGTAGAGCTAGTGGTGTAGCAGTGGGTGTGTATCAGGGGGGTGGGACTGTGTGCGGGAGGATGAGCGGAGGTTGCCAGTTTGTCGTCAGCAGCACCTGTAGTCCGGGGCGCTGTCCCGGTAGCCCAGTCGTAGCCAGCTGTGCCTGTAGAATATTATCTTATTGTTCTAGCCTGTAGTGGGGTGCTCTATAGCGAGTACAACCCTTCTAGGGTTTGCTATTTGTATCCTCATTCTTGCTAGTTCAATCCTCTTTCTTTCTTCTAATTTTGACACTGGGGCGCGAAATAGGAGGCCTTCGGGGCGCGAAATGAGGGAACTGCGGGGGTCCGAGCGACGGCAAGCAACGGGGCGTACGGGCGACGTGCGACGGGTGATGAATTACGGGTTGGTGGGCCCATAAAATTGTACAGGCTAGGAACTTGCTAGCTCAATACCATGTTACGATAGTGTCTTAACTGGTAACCGGGTTTAAGGAGGGCCTAGGCTTACTAGCCTAGGCCAAGCGGGTGTCGAGTAGTTTGTGCCAAGAGAATTGAAGAAAAATGGTTGGAGGTTCACTATAGCACACGAGTACATATAACAACCTAACAAAGGTGAAAGAGGTGCACCACTACACAAGGGAATTACACAACAGCTACACTACAGGCAGATTATACTAAATAGATATAAATCTATTGTAACATGAACTAGCAGCAGGATGGGTACAAGTAGGAAACCCTAATTCTACTGTACCCCATAAGGAGTGCCCCACTACAGCCTACAATATGGTTCTGACAAATCGATGTGAAGAACGCGTTCTGTACGCGTTAGTAGATGCAGTGATCTACGTGGAGCAGCCGCACACATACGGCGACGGGGATCCACGTGTCTGCCAGCTACGCAAATCTCTTTACGGGATTAAACAGGCGCTGAGGCTCTAGCAGCAGTACCTGCACAACATTCTGCTTGAAATTGGGTTCAAGCAGCTGCCTCACGATCCAGGGATGTACCGCCGCGACTTCCGCGGCAAATACATCCTACTAACGGTTTACGTCGACGATCTTCTCTACACAAGATCAAGCCCCGAGCTGCTTGAGCAGTTCGAGAAGAATCTCACGGGGCATGTCGACATCACCTATAACCACGACGTGAAGCAGTTCCTCGGCCTCAACATCGCTTACTCGCTTGAAGCCATTCATCTTCAGCTGGCAAGTACGCAGAGGAACTTGGCAAGCGCTTCAACATTGCACCTGCACAGCTCTCCACCCCTTATCGCACTCCAGGACCCAACCATAAGCCTGACAACAAAGCCATATCCCCAGCTGGGCTTCAGACTTACCAGCAACAGTTGGGATGCCTACTCTTCACCTCGGTCACCTGCAGGCCAGATTTATCCTACATCGCAAGTCATCTGGCCCAGTACTCACGCAAACCAACGGCTGAGAATCTCTCAGATCTTCAGCGAGCACTCCAATTCTTCATTTCCACGCCCAATGTTGGGCTCTGCTACTCCACCATCCCAACCGCATCCTTCAACCTCATCGGCTACGTGGACGCTGATCATGCCGCCGATCCCGACAATCGACGGTCCAAGACGGGCTTTCTCTTTCGCCTCGAGCCCAGCGGTCCCATCTCCTGGAATTCATAGAAGCAGGAGCTGGTTGCCCAGTCATTGGCAAAAGCGGAGTTCATCGCAGCAACAGCAGCTGTTCGCGAAGGCCTCTACCTTCAAGAGCTGCTGCAGGAGGCAAAAATTCCGGCCTCAACGAACTTCCGCCTGCACTGCGACAATCAGAGCGCGATCAGAATCGCGAACAAACATGGCTTCATCAACCGCACCAAGCACATCGCGCTGCGGTACTTCTTCGTCAAGGATGAAGTTGACAAGGGCAAGGTTGACCTAACCTACTGCCCAACGGGTGACATGGCGGCAGATTTCCTCACGAAGAAACTATCGCATCAGCAGTACCAGCACTACTCCGAACTCAGCGAAGTAGTCAAACGGGTCAAGACCTGCTACGGCCAGGAGTGAAGGGGGGTGTTACGACTAGTAGTTACTGAAACATCACTGTTAGGGATGATTTTATCAGGGTAATTACCCTGATTTCAGGGTGATTACAGGCTTCTGACCTGGTGGTCATTGCAATTTCAGAATTTCTGACTTGTGAACACTGATCCATTCAGAATAGTGCTTTAGCGAACCCTGAAATATTGTATCTAGGCTCAGAGTAGTGTTCTTACTGACTCTGTCAATGTAGAGTACGCGTTCTGTGGACTCTGAATTTGACCTTATTGGAACGAAGTTTCTCGGAACTTTCCTTCCAATAACCCCGCATTCATGTTGGTCGCAATACAGCCAGAGCGTGAGCAGCGCGCGGAAAGATGTCGGTTGTATTGTCCCTTGCGTGTGCGTGAAGTTACCAACACATTTTTTGCGTTCCGCACAATGAAGTTGGCGAATTGCGGGTAATCAACGAATAGGAAATCTTGGCACATCTACGGTACCAAACTGTTTGGTGGACCGAAATTCCTCGTTTCTTCCCCGCGCAAAAACGTGTGGAGAAATACCACTTTGCAAAAGTAAAAGGTAAGAAAGTAACGCGCACAAGGTGTGCACGAAATGATGCCGCGTTGTGTTGGGATCATGCGGAATGAACTTTTTTCCCCGTTAAACACAATGCGCGTTACTACATCTGTTAGAGTGAGGACCTTGGATAGAATAGGAGGTGCTTTGGTAGAGTTTGGTAGCGGAAGACTTGTAAGAACTCAGATCATAGTGAATGTAAATGACCAAGTTGATTAAAAGATAGAATACAAGGAATATAAATAGTCCTAGTCTAGCCATGTACTCTAAGGGGTACATTCCCTTATTATAACTGTTTTACAGGCATTTCTACAGTGACTCTGACTGTTGTACTGCCTTTCTTGTTACCGAGTCGCTGCATGTAACCTCTGTTAGAATGTTATTGTTCTCTAGCCTGCAGTGGGGTACTCTATAGCGAGTACAACCCCTTAGGGTTTCCTATATGTATCC